AAGAAAATGAAAGAAAAGGCCTATGGATTGGAAAAGAAGAAATAAAATTTTCTCTATTTGCAGACATGTTTGTCTACATAAAATTATGAAGAATTTATAACAAAGTTAATAGAATGAACTAATAGTTAAGCAAGGTCACAGGACAAAAAGTCAAAATAAAAACTCAATCCTATTTCTATATATTATCAACGAACTGGAAGTTGAAATTCAAAAGAGTACCATTTATAATAGCACAAAAAACCAAAGCATTTAGGCATAAATGTAACAGAAGATGTGAAGGTTCTGTATGCTGAAAACCACAATAACAAAAAATCAAAGACCTAAATAATGGAGACTATTATTTTAAGGCTTGTAATGGACTGTAAGGTTCAATATTGTTAAGATGTTAATTCTCCCTCAATTGATCCATAAATTCAATACAAACCCAATCAAAATCCAAGCACACACAAAAATTAGTTATATTTCTATACATTAGCAATGAACATCTGAAAAGGAAATAAAGAAAAAAATTTCATTTAAAATAGCATCAAAAATATAAAATACAAAAGAATAAATTTAATCAAGGAGGTGCAAGACTTGTACACTGAAAACTGCAAAACATTGCTAAAAGAAATTAAAGACAACTTAAGTTGAAAAAGATCCCATGTTCGTGAACTGGCAGACAATATAAGACAGCAATACTCCCCAAAGAGATCTACAGATTCAGTGTGATCCCAATCAAAATCCCAACGGCCTTTTTTGCATAAATGTAACAGCTGATCTTAATATTCACATGAAATTGCAAGGAAACACAAATAGCCAAAACAATATTCAAAAAGAGTTGGAGGACTCATATTTATCAATTTCAAAACTTACTACCAAGTTCCAGTAATTAAAGAAGTAGGGTACTGGCATAACAATAGGCATACATAAATGGAATAGAACTGGGAGTCCATAAATGAATTTTTTGACAAGAGTGCCAAGACCAATTAATGCAGAAAGAACAGTCTCTCAACAAACGGTGCTGGGAAGACTAGATATCCAAATGCAAAATAACGAAGTTGAATCCTTACCTTACATACAAAATTAACTCAAGATGGATCAAAGACCTAAAAATAAGAGCTAAAACATAAAACTCTCAGAAGAAAAGATTAGGGTAAATCTTCATGACTTTGGAATTGGCAATGGTGTCTTAGATATGACACCTAAAGCACCAGCAACCAAAGAAAAAAGCAGATAAATTGGACTTTACTAAAATTTAAAAAAGCTTTTGTGCTTCAATGGACACCACCAAGGAAGAGAAAAGACAACATACACAATGGCAGAAAGCAAATCATATTATCTGATATAGGTTTAGTATCCAGCGTATACAAAGAACATTTACAACTCAACAATTAAAAGACAAACCGCCCAATTCAAAAACGGGTAAAGGACTTGAAAAGACATTTCATTAAAGAAGATATGCAAATGGCCGATAAACACATGAGAAGATGCTCAACATCATTATTCCTTACTGAAATACAAATCAAAGCCACAATGAGATATCACTTCACAATCACTAGGAGGGCTATTTTTTTTAAAGGAAAATAACAAATGTTGGCATCAGTGTGGAGAAACTGGAATGTACAATAGGGAAGCTGCTGTGAAAAATAGCTTGGTGTTCCTCAATAACTTAAATATAGGATTACCACATGACTTGGCAACTCTACTTCTGGGTATATAATTGAAAACAAGTGTTTAAACAAAAACTTGTACACAAATGTTTATAACAGCACTATTTACAATAGTCAAAAAGTAGGAATAACCCAAATGTCCATCAACTCACGAATGGATAAATAAAATGTGACATATCCATATGTATTAGTTTCCTAGGGCTGCCATGAAAAATTACCACAAACTAGGTAGTTTAAAAGGAAAGAAATTTAATCTGTCACAATCCTGGAAGCCAAAAGTCTAAAACTATGGTGTCAGCGGACTGCACTCCCTTGAAAGGCTCCAGGGGAGAATCTTTCCTTGCCTTTTCCAGCTTCTGGTGGCTCCAGGCATTCCTTGGTTTCCTCGGCTGCATCACTCCAATCTCTGCTCCCATCTTTACATGGCCTTCTCCTTTTCTGTGCCTTATCCTCTTCTGTCTAAGGAGACTTGTCATTGAATTTAAGACCAACTGGATAATCCAGAACATTCTCATGTTGAGACCCTTAATTATATCACTGAAGATTATTTTTCCAAATAAGCCACACATACTGTTTCTGGGGGTTAGGATGTGACATAATCTTTTGGGGGACCACTATCCAACCAACTAATCATACAATGAAATATTACTCAGCCATAAGAAGGAATGAAGCACTGATACATTCTGCAACACAAATGAATTTTGAAAACATTATGCTAAGCGAAAGAAGCCAAACAAAGGGCTATCCATTGTATGATTCCATTTATATGAACTTTCCAGAATAGCCAAATACATAGTAACAGAAAGCAGATTAGTGGTTTCCAGGGGCTGGGAGGAAGGGGAAATAAGGAGCGACTTCTTAATGAGTACAGGCTTTCCTTTTGGGTTGATGAAAGTGTTTTGGAACTCGATAATGGTGGTGGTTGCACAACATTATGAATGTACTGAATGTTACTGAATTGTTCATTCTTAAAATGGTTAAAATGTTAAATGTTGTTATGTATATTTTACCACAGTAAAGAAAAAAATCTCATCACAATTTACTTTGTAGAAATCAACAAGCTGGTTCTAAACTTTATATGGAAAACTAAAAGAACTAAGCTAGCTGAAACAACTGACAAAATGAACAAAATTGGGAGTCCTCACGTTACCTGATTCTAAAGACTTACTATAAAGCTACAGTAATCATGAGTGTGAAATATATAAAGGAAGTCTAAACACATAGATTAACAGAAAGTAATAGGCTAGAAATAGACCTACGTATCTATCGTCACTTTATTTCAACAACATTTCAAAGGCAATTCAATAGAGAAAGAAAAGTGTTTTCAACAAATGGTGCTGGGAAAACTAGTCATCCAAAAGAAAAAAATGACCCTCAATCCTTACCTCACGCTATATACAAAACTGGCTCAAAATGGATCATAGACATAAATGTAATATCAAAAATTATGAAATTTCTAGAGGGAAACATAAGAGAAAAATCTTTGTGATCTTTCATTAGGCAAAGATTTCTTAGATATATCACAAAAATCACGATCCATAATAAACAGATAAATTGAACAAGGGATACACTGGGAGAAGATACTTGTAAAACAAACGTAAAAACTTGTATTCAGAATATACAAAGAATTCTATAAACTCAATAATAAGAAAATAAACAACCTAATTTTTTAAAGGGGCAGAAGAGTTGAAGAGACATTTCACCAAAGAAAACAGAAGGCGTACAAGCACATGAAAAAATATTCAATATTACTAATCACTAAGGAAATAAAAATTAAAACCATAATGAGATACCACTACACACCTATAACGGCTTAGATAAAAAATAAAATGACAATACCAAGTTCTAGCAAGGATGTGGAACAACTAGAATTCTCATATATTGCTTGCGGGAAAGCAAAAGTATTTTGGAAAACAGTTTGGGCAGTTCTTAAAATATATATATATATATATATATATATATACACACACAACACTTATAATACAACTCAGTAATCCTGCTTATTGATATTTACCTAAGAGATGAAAACTTATGCTCACACAAAAACTTGCATCAAATATTTGTAGTGGCTTTATTCACAATCACTAAAAACTAGAAAAAACCCATAAGCCCTTCAACTAGTGAATAAATACACAAATAGTGGTACATCTATACAATGGAATACTACTCATTAACTAAAAGGAACAAACTACTGACACAACATGAATGAATATCAAATGCATTACACTAAGCAAAAGAAACCAGACTCAAAAGGGTACATTCTGTATGACTCCATTTATATGAACCTCTGGAAAAGGCAAAGTTCTAAGGATGGAAAACAGATCAGTGGTTGCCAGCAAGGGTTGAGGCTGGGAAGAAAGGTTGACTCTAAAGGGGATGATGAGGGAATTGTTGGGGTGATGGAACTGTTCTATGGAACTATGGTGGTAGATACATGACTTTATGTAATTAACAAATACCAGAGAACTGAACATTACAAAGAGTAAATTTTACTGTATGAAAATTAAAAAAACCACCACCAGGATAAAGGGAAAACGATAAAATCCAGACTATGACATATTAATCCAACTTAGTCAAACTTACATTGACGGCTTACTAATTGTACTGCAAATGAATGAAAGGAAACTGTCTTGGCTTTATAAGAATTTGGCAACAGTTCACTTCCAGCTCAGAGTCTGAGCCCAACCACCAAAGCCCAGTCTGAGGCCACCATGGCTAACCCCACATCTTAGACCACTCACCCCACTTGCAGCCCATAAGCACGGGGCAGCCAGCATGTCTTGTTAGGTGGTCACCTTTCCCACTCCGCAGAAAGTTATACCAGAACAAGATTGTCCCATGGAAAGAGAAGGCCTATCAGAACACATCCTGGAGTTGGTTTTGAGGAAACAAATCAGAACAGTCCCTGGAAAACACAATTCTGAACTCCAAAAGAGATGCCACATATGAAGAGCATGGGCTTTGTTTTTGTTCAGGAAAAGTCCTCAGTTACATATATACCCACCATATCAGCCCCAATGGTCCCTGGGACCTGACCATATCTTGCTCCTGAAACTCCAGCCTGAAAGGAAACACTCTCACTTCCTTGTGTACAAGGGGAAAGAGCTCTGGGACTCCAGGGACATTCTCCAAGCAGCATCTACTCTATATGGTGAACATGTGGAAACCTACCTGTCCTTGAAGGAGCTCCTGCACCTTCTCCCAAAGTAGGGGCCACAAGATGGGAGCCTAGACAGGAAGTTCCTGAGATCATCACAGTCATAGTCAAGCAAGCCAAAGAATAGGGCAGAAAAATGGACAAGGCCTGAGGCCTGAAGCAATGAATGACCTACAAAGAAGAGACCTTACCTTCTTGGGCGAAATCATAGCCCCCGAGTCTGGGAAGACAGTGGCACCACCAGCTTCTACATCACTCATCTGGGAAAACAAAGCACAGTAGTTGGCCCTTCTCACCTGAGGATCTAAGACTCTACATCCTGCCTGACCCAGGGAGTAGCTGGCGTGTACCAAGCTATTTTTCCCCTACCGCACATGGCCAGGCCTCAATGAAGATCAAGTTGGGCAAGAGATTTCTGGTCACTGATATTGAGGCCTTTCTCTTCCAATAGGAACTGTTTCCTAGAATAATACATTGGTTTCTATTAACACTTTCCCTGTGAGTCCTTCCCTCAAGCCCTGACTCCCCTACCTCATGAACTCCTCAACCTGGCAGAGGAGTACCTGCTACACAGTAAAACAGTTCCCAACCGTGGGACACATTAACAAATAAAATAGGCACATGTCGTCCCTGCCTCATAGTTGGAGCTCTCAGGTATGCACTGTGGTTCTCAAATTTGCTTCTGCCTTGACACACTCCATCTGTCAGAAGGGCTAACCACAGTAGCCATACACTTAGAAGGGGTCATGAGAACTCCAGAGTAAGACAATGATGCCAGACATCTCTATTGGAGTCTGATCTCTAAAGGAGTCAGTGGCTGAATCCAAGTGGAGGATATTTAAGCCGAGCTCATTCAATACTTCTCAGCTTTTCCATTCCTTTAAATGGACATCTGTCTGGACTGACACCCACTTAGTCCATAAACCTACAATTTTCAGAATTCAAGTAATACCCATGGGCTGCAGTATTATCTGGCCCCAAGCTGATAAAGCTCTGCTGCTTTCCCTTTCTTATGCTGAGATCTCTACTCTACAACTCATCTCTGCAGGCCCCAAGCTTTCTTCCAACTGCCTCTTCCTTGGAATCCATAAGAAAGGTTCTATAGACACTACTTGGCCCACTTTACCCTTCCCTGAGGCTTGGCAGCAAGAAACAGCACCAGGAAATTCAATAAGCCATGCTTTGTCTGTAACCACCCCAGGAGAAGCTGATCTAATCCTGCCTTGCCAGGGCCACTTGAAAAGAAATAATATTTTTGATATTTATTAACCCATGTTCTTCTGCCCCTTCCAGTCTAGTACTTATCCCTTTCTCTGCCTCCTTTCAGCCAATCAGCCCAGGTCCCACAAAGTAAAGAGGCAGACAGTGTGGTGAGCCATCCAGATACTCCTTTCTACATTGAGGTACTCATTCCTGAAGCTCCTGGGAATGTTAGTTGCTGACAGCTCACAACTATGTCCCTCTCCAGATGTTGCCCTCATCTGAAGAGAACTGCCTCACCTATAGTTATGAAGCCTCCCTGGGGACAGCCTGCATTCAATGTTTGACTGATGCCAGAGTACAAAGGCCTAGAACCTTGCCTCAGTTTAGGGCAAGTGTAAAGGCTTTTCCCACTTCAAGAGCTCACCATAGGATTAACTGAGGTCCATGTTGAAACTGCATCATAGTTTACCTTATTGCATTGCCCAACCCTGTTTCCCCCAATGTCTTATAGGGGTTATGCATGAATGCAAATCTCCAGTTCAGAGTTTGTATCTAGGCCATCTGACCTAAAACCAATTGGTACCCTGAGTGGTCCTAAGACACAGATTGTAAAATGGGATTTTGGCACTGGATCATCTGCCTAGTAGTTGGCAATGAGGACCCCATCACTGGTGGCAGGTGGAATATTGATAGTACCTGGCATGGTGTAGCTATATATTTGCTCAAACTTTCACTAATGGTGAATTGGGATGGGATACCAGTGGAAAGGAACACACTGGCTGGTGCAACACTTCAGGTGATTGAGAGATACAGGGGTGTGGTAAGAAAGTTAATGTCTTCCCAGAGATGTCCATGTCCTAGTCCCTGGCATCTATGAGTATGTCACATTACACGACAAAGGTTAAAGTTGCAGGTGGAATTAATGTTGCTAATAAGATGCCTTTAAGAAACGGAGGTTATCCTGGATTATACAAGTGGGCCCAACATAATCACAATGGTTCTTTAAATGCAGGAGAAGGAGGCAGAAGAGAGAGATTTGAAGATACTATACTACTAGTTTTGAAGATGGAGAAGGGGTCATGAGCTAAAGCATGCAAGCAGCCACTAGAAGCTGGAAAAAGGAAGGACACAATAGCACAACAATGTGAATATACTTAACACTACTGAACTGTACACTTAAAAATGGTTAAGATGGTGAATTTTATGTTACATGTATTTTACCAAAATTTTTTTAAAAGATAAAGAAATGAGCCTCCAGAGGGAACAAAGAATACAGACTTTATAGATTTAATTCAGAGAAGTCATTCAACAAGAAAATAACAATATCTAGAATAAATAACAATAGCGGCAAACCCAGTGGGATGGAGGGAGTCTAATCTGTAAAGCAGCCACATTCTATTATTTAAAATGTCTAGTTTTCAAAAAAAATTACTAGACATGCAAAGAAACATGAAGATGGCCCATACACAGGAATAAAAGCAATCAAGAGAAACTGTCTCTTAGGACTAGGAAAAGACTTTAAATCAGCTACTTTAAACATGCTCAAAGAATGAAAAGAAACCATATCTAAACAACTAAAAGAAAATATGAAGTATGATAATCATGTCTCACCAAAGAGAGAATATCAATAAAGAAAAATTATAAAAAAGGACCCAATAGAAATCTTGCACTTAAATTCAATGACTGAAATGAAAAAGTTAATTAGAGGATCTCAATAGCAGGTTTGAACTGGCAGAAAAAAGAATTAGCAAACATGAAGACAGATCAGTTGAGATTATCCAGTCTGGGGAACAGAAAGTAAAAGAATGAAGAAAAATTAAGAAAGCCTCAGAGACCTGTGGGAAACCATTCAGGATACCAACAGACACATAATGGGAGTCTTAGAAGGAAAAGAGAGAGAGAGAAAGGGACAGAAAGAATATCTGAAAAAAGAAAGATGAAAAACTTCTAAAGTTTGATGAAAAACCATAAATCTACACCTCCAAGAAACTCAACAAACTCCAAATAGGATAAACACAAAGACCTCCATACCTAGACACATCATAATCAACTGTCCAAAGACAAAGAGAGTATCTTGAAAGCAACCACAGGGAAACGATTCATGCACAAGGGATCTTCAATAAGATTAACAGCTAATTTCTTATCAGAAACCTTGGAAACCAGAAGGCAGTGAAATGATATAGTCAACCAAAGGGGAAAAAAAATCTGTCAACCAAAAATTCTATATCTAGCAAAACTATCCTTCAAAAATGAAGGAGAATTATAAACATTCCCAGATAAACAAAAACAGACAATTTGTCACTAGCAAACTTGTTCTAAAAAAATATTAAAAGAAATCCTCCAGGCTGAAATGAAAGGACACTAGAAAGTAACTCAAATCTACACAAAGAGATAAAGAGCACCACTAAAGGTATCTACACAGGTAAATATAAAAGACAGCATAAATGTATTTCTAATACTTTTTTCTCCTATCTGATTTAAGAGACAACTGCATAAAGCAATAATTATAAATCTGTGTTGATGGGCACAAAATATATAAAGATGTAATACATGACAACAATAAAGGAATAGGGGAACAGAACCATGAAGGAATAAAGTTTTTGTATACTATTGAAAACATGTTGGTATTAATTCAAACTACTGTAAATTAAAATGTTAATTGTAATTCCCATGGTAACCACTAAGAAAATAACTCAAAAATATATAATAAAAAACATTTTAAGAAAATAAAAATGTTACCCTAGAAGATATCTAATTAACACAAAAGAAGATAGTAGTGGAAGAACAGAGGAACAAAAAAGACATGAGATGTATGAAAAGTAAATAGCAAATACTATCTTATCAATAATTACATTAAATGTAAATAGATTAAACTCTCTGAATAAAAGGTAGAGACTGGCAGGACAGATAATACAATATGATCCAATTTATACGTTATCTACAAAAGATACACAAAATTCAAATACATGAACAGGTTGAAAGTAAACAAGTTAAAAAAGATATACCACGCAAATAGCACCCAAAGGAGAGCTAGAATGGCTATAGTGAAATCAGATAAAACAGACTTTAAGAGAAAAATTGTTACTGAGACAAAGAAAGGTATGTTATAATGACAAAAGAGTCAACCATCCAAAAGAAGGACATAACAATTACAATCATATATGCAACTAAAAATAGAGCCACAAAAACTGACATAATTGAAGAGAGAATATAGAAAATTCAATAATAATAGTTGGAGACTTCAATAATGGATAAAAGATAAGCAATTAAATAGAAGCCTTGAACAACACTATAAGTCAAATAGACCTGGCAGACATCTATAGAGCACTCTACTCCATCTTAACTTATAACAATCAAGTTCAGATTAATACTCCAACAACAATAGAATATACATTCTTCTCAAGTGTACATGGAATATTCACCAGGCTAGGCAACACATTTGTTGTCAACACCCATTCTACACAACATTGGACTGGAGGTTCTAGCCAGGGCAATTAGGCAAGAAAAAGAAATAAAGGCATTCACACTGGGAAGGAACAAGTAAAACTATCCATATTTGCAGATGACATGATCTTGTATATAGAATATCCTAAGGAATCCAGAAAAAAAAAAACATATTAGAGCTAATAAGTTTAGCAAGATTGTATGAAATATGATCAGTATACAAAGATCAGTTGTATTCCTATACACTAGCAATGAACAATATGAAAAGGAAATTAAGAAAACCATTCGATTTACAATGGTACCAAAAAGAATAAAATACTGTTAACAAAAGAAGTGCAAGACTTGTATACTGAAATCTATAAAGCATTGCTGAAAGAAAGCAAAGAAGACCTATTACAGTAAATGGAAAGACATCCCATATTCATGGATTGGAGTACAGCAATACTCTCCAAAGTGATCTACAGATTCAATGTAATCCTTATCAAAATTATAACTCCCTTGTTTCTAGAAATGGAAAAGCCTATTCTAAAATTCCCATGGAAATGCAAGGGACCCAGAATAGCCAAAAATCTTGGAAAAGAAGAATAAGGTTGAAGGACTCACACTTATTGAT